TGTGGTGCAGTTCCTGCTTAAAAACACCAGGGGCCTCATGTACAAAGACTTGCGTGGATTTCTTACTGAAACCTGACGCACGCCTGAATCCACGCACATTTCTTTTGTACATCACAATTAACGTGGAACTGAGCGCAGGTAAGACACCTCCCCTGACACGCCTTCATTAACATATGTTAAACAGATGCAAATTACTTCCTGCATGTGTGAAGGACATATTTGAGTGATCCCTGCACGATCATAAATGATTTCTAGAGTCATAAAAATAATGAATTTAATATAATGTGAGTGAGAAAAAAATCCTCAGTAAAAATAGGAATAAAATATGTTTATCACGCAAAGAACGAGTGATTGTGGGTCGGTGTGTGTGTGTGTGCGCACAAACTGCTGTGTTGCGCAATCGGCTCATCCATCCATTCTGAGTCTGAAAATATTAACTTGGTGCAGGAGTTTATTACATAATTACTGTAAACACAGAGGAACTTAAATGTTTGGTAGAACATAGATCTTTGTTTATTTCATAGCTGATATTGAGAAACGAGTCTCTGTGTCTCAGTAGAGTTCACATGACGTGACGTGATGTTGGAGAGTCTCCACAAACGCTGCGCGCTCCGCAGCCTTTGTGTGCAGTCTGTTTGTCTGTCAAACTTTTGCTGTCCTACTTACAGCATTTTCACAAGTTGTAAAGTGTACTTCCACGTGTCATTTTGGAGAAATCTACAACAACGTAAACACCAAGTATGAAACACCTCCACTGCCRGCGAGGGTGCACGCTCCAGAGCGTGACCATAACTCAGCCTTTRGAATCACATGGATGAGACCATACCATTGGGCAGGCTTCGGCTTTGGGTGGACTGGACTGACACAGTCCTAATGGGTCTGCCAGCTCCCTCTGGAAAGCTCCTGTGGAACCCCAGTACAATCGCTGCTGCTGCTGCACATGCACGTGTGGCGCACGCAGCTTGCTGCATCGCGCCACGCGTGCATGTGCAGCAGCCACGCGCAGCAGTGCCAAACTAAAAATGATTTTTCTTCAAAACGGCTGATGAGCCACTCATCATCAGAAAATTCTATCTGTTTATAGTAAATTTTCTGCGTGTTACACTATTTATTATATCCTCCAGTAAGGCTGAATCTGTTCCTGGTAAATGTTTTTTTTGGCACAACTTTGCACGTCCTTTATCTAACTGCGTCCATGTGGATGTAATAATTGTTAATCATGTGGATGTACTAATTGTTAATCATGTGGATGTAATAATTGTTAATCATGTGGATGTAATAATTGTTAATCATGTGGATGTAATAATTGTTAATCATGTGGACGTAATAATTGTTAATCATGTGGATGTGGATGTAATAATTGTTACCGTATTTTT